TTGATCACTCTCTGGTAAGTTCCTCAGGTACACGTGAGCCATTCCTTTGTATAGGTTTATGTGTTCTTATTTCCAGAAATTTTCTTGGAGTATATCTTCAACATACATGGAACTTTTCAACATCATCAAAACGATACTGAGATTTCATCTCATACCAGTCAGAATGGCAGTTATCAAGAATACAAATAACAGGGCTGGGGATGTGGCTCAAGCTGCAGTGTGCTCGCCTGGCATGCGTGTGGCCTGGGTTCAAATCCTCAGTACCACATACAAAGATGTTGTGTCTGCCGAAAATTAAAAAATAAATAATAAAATTCTCTCTCTCTCAGAATGAGGTCACAGAGCCGAGCAAAATTAAAAAAAAAAAAAAAAAAAGAATACAAATAACAGGGCTGGGGTTATGGCTCAGCAGTAGAGTGCTTACCTAGCACATGTGAGGCCTTGGGATCGATCCTCAGCACCATATAAAAATAAATAAATAAAATAAAGATATTGTGTACAACTACAATAAATATTTTTAAAAAATACAAGTAACAGTAAATGCTTGGAGAGGACGTGAAGAAAAAGGAACACTTTTATATTGTTGGTGGGATTGTAAATTAGCCTAGGTGTCCATCAACAGATGAATGAATAAAGAAAATGTGTTATATGTACACAATGGAGTTTTATTCAACCATAAAGAAAAATGAAATTATGTCATTTGTAGAAAAATGGATGGAACTAAGAACATTATGTTAAGTGGAAGAAGCCAAATTCAGAAGGTCAAGAGTTGTATGTTGGGGCTGGGGATGTGGCTCAAGCGGTAGTGCACTCGCCTGGCATGCGTGTAGCCCGGGTTCGATCCTCAGCACCACATATGAACAAAGATGTTGTGTCTGCCGAAAACTAAAAAATAAATATTAAAATTCTCTCTCTCTCTCTTTAAAAAAAAGAGTTGTATGTTTTCTCTCATATATGGAAACTATAGAGGAAAAAGGAAAAGAAGGAGAGAGGATTTATGAAAATAGAAGGGAGATCACTGAAGGAAAGGAACCAGGGGGCAGGAGTATGCAGGGAGGTGGGAAGTGCTAGGGGGTTATGTTGGCCAAATTATAGTTAAGCTGTATGTATGTATGAATATGTAACAACAAATCCCATTATTATGTATGACTACATTGCACCAATAAAACATATGGAAAGAGAAAAAAAATACATGGAACTTCAACTACACTTACATTGCACACCCTTTGCTTATATTCAAATGAAATTCCAAATAGAAAGCAAAACAAGCACAAAGGTATGGAGATAGGGAAAGCAGAAACATTCCAGGAATTTGGGTGATGTGTGTGTGGAGACAGCAACACAAGATGGAATGGATAGATAGGCAAGGGCTAGATTAATGGAGGGTCTGTGTGCCATGCTGTGTAGTGACACCATGTGTGGTACATTTGGAAAGTTTTCTACAACCCGCATATGGAACATGGATTAGAAGGAACTGGAGATACAGGTATAGTAGGGAAGCAGATAAAGGCTCTTGCTCTAGCCTAGCTGAGAAGAGCTAAGAGGGACAGGTTCTAGAAGTATTAATGAAGTAGAATCCAGAGGACTTTGTAGCTGGGTGCAGTGGTGCATGCCTATAATTCCAGTTACCTGGGAGGCTGAGGCAGGAGAATTAGAAGTTTGAAGCCAGCATTAGCAACTTAGTAAGGCTAAAAGCAACTTAGCAAGACCCTGTCTCAAAATAAAACAAAAAGGGTTGGGGATGTGGCTTAGTGGTTAAGTGCCCTTGGGTTCAATCCCTGGTATAAAAACAAACAAATAAAACAATAACAACAACAAAAGAAAAGGACTTTGATTATTGGAAGCAGCAAGGAGAAACGAGGATAATTCGAGGTGAGGTGTTTGAATGGGCAACTGGATGGACACTAGTGCCATACACTTTTTGAAATGCAGAGCTTGAGGTCTCTAGGATATTCTGGTAGGCTTTTGTGCATGAGGAACCCAGAGGAGTGGCCTAAGTTAGTGATAATGCAATTTGGAGTAGCAGCCATGGGTGATAGATGAAGATATGGAGTATGTGAAATGGCTCAGGGAGAAGGTGTGGGGTGAGATGAGCTGAGGACAGAATTTTGGAAACTGAGTGGCTAAAGGGGTTAAAAGAGGGATCATGTCATGGAGCCATGTTTCAAAGAGTAGCACGCTTGTATAGTCAAGTGCCACTGGAAGTTCTAGTAAAATGAAGACTTAACTGGGCCATAGTATTTAGGATCAAAAAAGCATTAATGACTAAGAATAGGCAGTGGAGTGGTGGAGCAGAGCCAGAGACTGAAGAGCGAGAAGCCTCTGAGGAGGTAATGACTTCAGATGGCTTTCAAGACATTTGTGAAGAAAAATACAGTGGGAATAGTAATCATGGTGGAAACTTCTTCTTTCTGCCCCTACCCCGGACTGGAAGAGTTTGAACATATATAGATGAGGTAGGACAAAGAACAGGTAAACAAGAGAAGTCAATAATTTTGGAATCTTAGGGAGAGAATTAGTGAAAGATGTTTGAAAGGTTTTCTGAGGACTTGGAGGTAATGAAAACACAGAACAGAGATGGAAAGATGTGAGGACCAGTGCACCTGAAGTAGTTAATTCCAAAATTGAGTTATGAGTCTAGCTCACATACTGAAACCTTGGTTTCTATCAATTGGGCAAACACATCAAGCAATATGTACATATTTGTTTATTTATTTTTTAATTATTATTTATTTCTTAGTTGTAGTTAAACACAATACCTTTATTTCACTTATTGATTTTTTTATGTGGTGCTGAGGATCAGACCCAGGGTCTCACACATAGGAGGCGAGTGCTCTACCGCTGAGTCACAACTCCAGCCTCTACATATTCATTTTGTATCTCTTACACCTTTCTCTTAAAGAAGAGAATCAGTGAGTTACCCTTTCAATGCCTTTTCTGTAATGGATGCTCAATAAGGGGTCAAAGAATAAACTAGAGGCTAGGGTTGTAGCTCAGTGGCTAGCATGTGAGAGGCACTGGGTTCAAGTGTCAGCACCACATATAAATAAATAAAATGACCATTGACAACTAAAAAATATTAAAAAAATAAACTAGATGTCTCGTACCTCTATTCTGAGTATCTTAGTATCTTAGTATCTTAGTCTTAGTATCTTAGTATCTTAGACTTCTCTGGTATGCAAAATATTTGCACAAGCCATCTGTGAAAGGTGATACTCTTTTTTGAAGAAACTGTTTACTCTTACTTAAAGTTGGTTATAAGCATTTTCTTCATTATAGGAGTTTAAAAATAGGCAGATGAGAGGAGAAGGAAGAGGGTGTTCTAAAGGCAGGCAGGCAGACCGCAGCAGGAGGTGGCTCGATCTGCCTTACCATAAGGTGCCAAAAAGCAGTAAAAACCACTCAACTCAAAGCGCATTGACCTGGGGTTGCTTAGCCGCATTTCACTCACTGATGTACCGATAACTCTTAAGGACGTTGCCATTTTGAGTCTTAAAAAATGTTGAGAAAAATGATCACTTGGGTCATTAAAAAGGTTTGGCTGTTCCTAATTTGCCACCTTCTCCTATATTTCACAGTTTGGAAAGGAACACACACACACACACACACACACACAGACACACAATATTAAAAAGGTGCTGAGCTGGTAAATCTTGGTCACCTGTGCTTCTTTGCTCAAGTTCTTTACAGACACTTAATGCCCTCCTGGCTTTTTCCTAGGACTTCTTTTTTTTTTTCTTCTAGGCTGAACACAAATGCCCCTCTTCCAGGAACGCCTCTGCACGTCAAGCGGAAGTAATCTCTTCCTCATCCTAGCACAGCATCTGACTGTGGCTTGCCTTTGCACGGGTCACTAGACCTGGTTGTTTATACACGACTGCTTTTCCCTCTAAGTTATGCGCTCCTTAGACCATGGGCCGTGACCATGACCTTGTGCCCACACGGCACCCGGTGCAGCGCTAGGCGCAGAGTCGGTGTTCAGTGAGCTTGCTGAGTTAATTTGGAAAGTCACCGGGACAGGATTACCCAGAGAGGGGCGGATGAATGATTCACGGGGATGGTTCTTTGCATTCTTTACCTTGTAGTCACATCAAGCAGAGCATTCACCTGGCGGGGCAGATACCTGTGGAGTTGAAGCGCCACTCCGCCGCCGCCAGAGCTGCAGGGGCCAGGAGGGGGCAAGCTTAGTCTGCGCCCCACACCCGCAGGAGAGCCGGGGGCGGGTCTCGCTTGGTGGCGGGGGCGGGGCTCGAGGGG